CGGGGTGGAAGAGGTAGACACTCGTAGCTCCAGTGATCACCACCTGGAGACCACGAGCACCATCTCCACCGTCTCCAGTATGTCCACACTGTCCTCGGAAAGCGGCGAGCCCACGGACACCTACACCACCCACGCAGATGGCCAGACGTTCATTCTTGATAAGCCGCCAGTGCCTCCAAAGCCAAAGCTCAAGTCCCAGCTCAGCAAGGGCCCGGTGACGTTCAGGGACCCCCTGCTCAAGCAGTCATCCGATAGCGAACTGCTCTCACAGCAGCACGCGGCTGCGCTGGCTGCTGCTGCGGGAGCCTCAGGCCCGGCCAGACCCCGCTACCTCTTCCAGAGACGCTCCAAGTTGTGGGGGGACCCCGTGGAACCCCGTCCGCTTTCGGGGGCAGAGGAAGGCAAGCCCACTGTGATCAGCGAGCTCAGCTCTCGGCTGCAGCAGCTGAACAAGGACACGCGCTCACTCGGGGAAGAGCCGCTTGGAGCTTCACTTGACCCCGGAAGGAAATCGCCCGTGGTTGGTGCAAGGTAAGGTGTGAATCCTGGAGAAGACCGATTGCAAATCAGCTTTACAACTGAATCTGAACTTCTATGAAAACAAATTCAACACCTTTTCTAAAGCAACATTGCAAAGAGAATACAAAAGTTGGTTGTTTATACTGCAAATGCAAGTTTCCTATTGTTTAAATAACAGTGAGAACACTGTGCAATTCTTTTCCCATATCTGAATAACAATGTTCGATCAAAGCTCACAGTTTGCATTTAGTAATATGAAATAAAATGAACATAAATTATATATTAAACATCCTCATGAAAATCACAAAGAATACCAAAGAACATAACGTGTCTGTCCAGAGTTTCACAAGTAGTCACCTTTAACTTTTATTTAAAAGAAAGCTAATCCAGAACCTTAACATTTTTTACTCGTTTAGAAGCATTAAGTGTTAATGTTTAACATGCTTTCTTCATTGAGACGTTTGGAGCCCCCGAACTATCTCAGCATTGGACGACCACTGGTAAGTAATGTAGAACGGCCTCAGGCTGATCTCACAGCTCTACCATATAACCCGTAGACAATAGTTAGTGTGCTACAGACTTTTCTGTAGATACACCAATGCACATAACCAGAGCTACAGGGACAGCTTGAGTTAAAATAATTAATTGCAATAAAAAATGTTTCATATAAAATCAATAAAAGTCAATGTTTTTTTCTGTCTTGATTTTTTAAAAACACCAGCTATGTACTATTTTGCTTATATCCTTAAATACAGCTGAAGTCCTTTATATCCCAACAGATGTGACAAGGACATGGAAGACAGTAAACCTTAGCTTTTAGCCACTAGGGTAAATCAAATGTCATTCCTTTTATTTTCTATTCTTTAACATCCACTAATCCCATATTCGATCACTTTTGCTGACATTGTTCTGGGTTTTATTAATCACTTCTGCAGGTTCTGTGTTCCCTTGTCCACCCTGGCAAATCAACCAAAATGTCTGTCCCTTGACAGTATTGTCAAGTATTCTCAGTACACCTGTTTCGGTTATGACACCTTTTTCAGTGAACATGATGTGACTCAAAAACATTCTTGATGACATGCAGTAGGGTGACTACATTATGACATAAATGTAATTTGAAAAGCACTCCTTTAAGTCCTTCTGTCTTGCCATTTGGGTGTTCACAAGGTAACAGATGGCCTGAGGGCATGCACCATCTC